CTCCGCCCGGCCTCCCCGGGCAGCGAGGGGGGAGCGCTGCCACCGCCGGGGAACGCAGCCCCCGGAGCGAGGGTCGGGGGCTCACGGACGGGCACCCCCGGCTCGGAAACGTGATCGCTTCCTCCTTAGAGGGAGCGGTACTCTCCGGCCGCCGCTCAAGCAGATGATGAGCGGGTGGGTGACGGCTCACTCAGGAAAGGCGAGTCCCATTCACACGTTCGAGCGCACGACCGGATCTGCCCGCCCGGCTCCCGCAACCCACAGTTGGCATCAAAACCGGTCACGAAATTCAAAGCCCGAGTTTCGATCACCTCGTTTTCCCTCGCTTATGAGCCCGAACACTGCGCACTTGTGTCAGGGCGCCAAAGTGAAATGAGAAACACGCAAACAGAACATCTCTCAGCGGCCGGATTTACGAAAGGGAGACACTTTGGGGCTCTCTCTAAGGCAGAGGGCTATGGCAGGAAAAGAAGTCCACCAAGCACGGTTTCCTTGGGAAGCAGAGCAGCAGACAAAGTGACCTCTGTTCCCCTGCCTCCAACTCCCACCAAAATGTTCATTTTCATTGGAAGGGAAAAGCAAGACTTGGGAGCGGGCGACACGCACAGCAGCCGCCAGCCCCGCTCCCGCCCTGCCTTCGAGGGCTCATTTTTGCCAATTTCCCCTTTTTCCTTGAAATATGATTTTATACAGACAAGCACAAACAGGCCCGCAAAGGCTGAAAAGAGGAGAATAAAGAATACACGCCAGCAATAGCCTTTTACTCGACCAGTTCCTCATCCCAGAAACATTTGCCAGCTCTCTATGGGAATGGGTCTTTTTCCGCCACTGTACAGCACAGCCAGGTTAGCTCCACCACATGTCTCTCTCCAAACCAAGCCGATATCTGGGCGAGCTCCCCAGGCCGAGCTCGGCCGCCCCCGGACACGGCAGCGATGCCCGGCCGGAGGCTCCGGCAGTGCTCAGCCCCGCACCAGCCGGCACAGGCAGCCTCCAGCTCCCGCAGCAAGCGCAGAGCCCGGCAGGTGG